TGGGGATTTGTATTTATCTATCATCCTCTCCCCTTTTTTTATGAATCATTCATTACTTCTCTCGATTTCAATCATCTTAACCCTCTTTCTTATGCTCTTTCCTTTTATTTCTCTTTTATATTTAGTTTTGTTACTTTTGTTGCATTTAGCTATCTTCTACTCTCATCTCTTCTATTTTACTTCTCCTCATGTTGCATTATTATCTTTATTCGTATTATATGTCATGCATGCTTAGATTAGTTTTATATCCTTATCTCCATGCTTTTTACTTTCTTATCTTTCTTGTACTTCGTAGTTAGATTCTTTATTCCGATTTATTTACATCTCCCTAGTTTAGCCGCTTATTTGTGATTCTCTTCTCTTGTTCTCTTTCCAAATTCATTTTCATAAAATCTTCCTCTTATCTCAAAACCCTTTTAAAATCTTCTTGGTCGAGTTCCAATGTTAAGATAGTACGGAAGCTGACTTTGTCGACGATTCAAGAGGGAAGGTTTTAGGACCAGATTCTCACTCGGAGCGTAAATTGACGGGACCCATACTCTACCAACTTATCGATTTGTCTGTACCCGAAAATCAAGGTGGGGGCGTAGTTCCCTACCCGCAATTTCGAGTATAAACATTTGGCTAATTGGATCATCCTATCTTTTCCTATATGAGCAAGCTTAACATACCACATTATGGAGTTGTATGTAATATAAGAGGTGGAAAAAGATGATGATGTCATATAGGTAGAAGGAAATAAAACATTAACATCTTCATTATCTAAAACAAACAAGTCATTCATAAATTCGGGCCTATCAATGAAAACTATCTGGAAATGTAAATGTAGCATAACTAAGCATGAAACTGCCTCTAACTATACATAGAATTGAAAACAAATTTTTTCTCATTTCGGGAGTATAAATGACAGACATCATGGAGAAGATGGGTCTGTCCACTTCGAAATTGGCGTTGGTAAGTTCCGACCCTAGCTCATCCTTTAGGGGTTGTTTGGATACTTGGAAATATATTGTCCGTGAAATATATTACTGGCATAATACATTACCTGTAAATGGATTGTTATTGTTTGGGTGGTATTTAGATGCAACCTGGGAAATACATTGTTATCTGGAAGGAATATAGGAAATGCATTACCAACCTTGTACCAGCACGTGCCTATAAACTATCATTTCTTTCTCTTTTGTCACAAAATTCCACTAAAATGTATAATTATCATTTCCTTCTTTTTTGTCATAAAATTCCACTAAAATACTGAATTAAAATCATTATCACACTATTCCAAAAATATTTATAATAGTAACATTATCACCATTCCAAAAAGATTTTCTAATAATAACTTGTACCATTTTACAGTCATGACACTATTTTCTACTTATTTTAAGTGCCTTTGGCACTTGTATGCAATCACATGCTTTCTAACATGACATTGGTTTCAACATGATAAGTCATCGAAACAATATGATTGGAATAACATGATTTTATTATGATAAGCGTTATTTTTATTTATTTTTAATAGAAGTTTTTCAAATGTCTCTCAATATAATTTCAAACAAATAATAAATTTATGATACTAAATTCAAAATTTGTAGGGTACAAGTTAAAAAATGGGAAATAGTTTGATTAGTAAACTAGAAGGTGTGGTAATTGCAATATAAAATTTTGAGGTATTGGAGGAGACTAAAGATGTATGTTATTTCAATTGAGATTTTAGTAATCTCTTATGAGGATTATGTTGTGTGAAATTTTTTATTATGATTGTGTTGTGTAATTTATCATTGATTACTATTTTTATTTTTATTATTTTTGTTTTTATATGATACTGATGCCTTCAAATGAGGGTATGAGCGTAAAAAGGGAGGGATTTTTATTTTTATTATTATATGACATTGATGCCTTTAGATGAGGGGATGAGCTTGGGAGGGATCACATTATGTTTTGTAAAAAAAATTATATGATTGTGTTGTGTAAATTATCATTGATTACTGATTTTTATTTTGATTATTTTTGTTTTTATGACAGTTGATACCTTCAGATAAGGGGACAAGCTTAAAAAGGGAGGGATCACCTAGTTATTATAAAGAGAGAGGGTTTAGAAGATTTTTTTAATCAGGGGATTGGGTAGGAAAAAAGGCACGCAAACGATTTCCCAAGGTGATGGGAAAGTTAGAAAAAGTTATTATAGCCTCGCACCATCAATGACTTTATGCTTTCCCAAAATTCTAGAAGAGGCCTAAGCAATCCGAACATCTGTTGCTCGTGACTAAGTTTGTTTTCAGCTGCTTCAAGGTCATGTATCATTTTAGACATTTTTCGAACACGGTGAAGAAAGGAATTAAAAAAATCACATTTTTATTTCTTAGAAAAGAACAATTTCAAATTTCGATTATTATCATAGTTAGAGTTAGATATCTTTTCGAGAGAATATTATCATAGTTAATATTGTTGAACTCTAAAATTTACATCTTTAAAATATATTTTGTTTAGGTGCAGTTTGTATAGAGTCGATGCTCTAAACAATCAAAGTATACACACCTTCAAATAGTGTAAAAAATGTGGTTTCAATACTGAAAAACTTTGTGATACCTTTAAAATAAATTGTCATCTTTAATTATAAATTTTAAAGCTTCAAAAATAGTGTAAATCGAGCAGATCTATGAAAACTTGAAAATCTTGAAAATTGACGATCTAAAAATGTGTTACAAGATGCACTATTTTCAAAACTTGAAATCCATTTTTTTTCTCATGTCCATGTATCTTGATGTCGGGATTATCAATTTGAGGACATTTAGGCTTCAAAATAACCTCTTCTAGTGAAATTTTGTGGTGGGCTCTAATTTGATTGTTTAGAGTCTCGGCTCTATATAAACTTTTTCCATTTTGTTTTGTGGGGACACAACATACACTTTTTCTAGATAAATTTCCATGTAAAAAATAAGTGAATTTATATAATGAGACCAGTTATGGTCACATTACTTTTGACCATTGGATGTGAGATTGGGTTATGCAATTATTCCATTGACCATGCTAAAACTTCAAAAAAACAAATTTCTCAGACTTTGTGACACATCAAAGCTATCAAATTTCACATTAAATGGTTTTAAGGAACTGTGACCACCTTGTATCAAAAGTAAATGGTCTCATTCCATACAATCCTAAAAAATAAACCATGTACTATAAATCTCTTTCGAGCTAACCTAGGTACAAAACTAAGTTTGTATGAACCGGCCAGGTCCACTGGAATAGAAACAAAGAAAAGAACAATAGAGCTCTAATCATAATTAGCAAGTCATGGATTATCAATAAATCAGTTCACTATAAAATTGGAAACAAATCATTTTTATTTTAAAAAGTCGGATGAAAAAATCGGGTAAAAAATACGGATCAGCAAAAATACTTCATATAAGGATATCGCTAATATATCGGATTAGGCTAAAAAAATCGAAGTAAAAAAATCGGATAAATTTATAATATTAGAAATTTTGAAATTCTAAAAAAGAAAAACTATGTCAAAGCCATCAATAACTAATTCATCCATAAAATCTTTACTAGATTGATATAATTAAGTCAATTAATTTAGATGCCCCGTGACTCTTATCCAATCATCCAATATTAAATACATAATTAACTAGTATATACTAAATGAAAATGTACCACATAAATCTACCCATTAAATACTTTGAGAAACATCACATCTACTTATTACATACCAAAAACAAATATACTATATAAACTTATTCATTAAATACTTTAACTATCGTATGGTGACAAATATACTCTATAAATTTATTCATTAAATACTTAAGCTATGGTATGGTGACAATATACCATATAAATTTCTTCATTAAATACTTAAACATCACACCTATTTAACCCAGTATAAAAAACAATACAATATTATTTGTTTGGGAAAATTGTTGAAAACCCCTTAAAATATACTTTTTAGATACTCTACCCCCGTCCTAAACTTTTCTCACTTCTTTTTCTCAAAAACTATCTTTTCTAACTAATACCCCATAACTCAAAAAGTGATATCTTTTTTGACAAAAATACCCCTTCCCGTACCTTCACTGTACGAACAAATCATTTAGACGGACCCCAATAGTATTTTCACCGGACCGCGGTTGTTATTTGCCGAACTTATGATGTATGTTGGATTGCATTTCTACAATACCAGACTTCTTATTTAGACAGTGATATGCTGGACCGTAGACTACTAACGCCGAACCACCCTACTCATGTATTAAAATGTTGAATCGAGACCATGAAATGCCGGACTTACGTCTTCAATAGTAAAATCACCGGAGTAAAGTTCTGTAATGCTGAACCGCGAGTAAGATATTGCCAGACTGCATCCTCCCAGTGCCAGATAAATCGACCATAACGCAGAAGTGAAATAGTTAAACGCCGGACTTAACATCATTCCAGAAACACATGTCAGACTGTACATTGCAAACTCCGGACTGACCCTATTCCAGTGAGTAAATTGTCGGAGCACTACTTCAAATCACAGGTCTGTCCACGTTACAGTAAACATATTGCCGAACCGTGCACATACACTGCCGGACAACTGCATCAAAACGCCGGAGTGATTTTATTACAGTACGTAAATAGCCGGACGTAACCCACAAAACGTCGGACGCCTAGTCAAATATTGGATCGACCATCACAAAATGCTAGACTGCCTATGCAAATGTCGGACTACCTACACAAATACCCTTTTTAACATAGAAGTTAAAAAGATGGGTAATTTTATCTTGATTTCTATTTTTATTAGGTTGAGGGTATTAATTAGAAAAATATAGCTTTCGAGAAAAAGAAGTGAACAAAGTTTAGGGTGGGATAGAGTGTCTTAAAATTATATTTTAGGGGGTTTTAAGTAATTTTCTCTTTTTGTCTCACAATGATTTAACTATGCTATGGTGACTATGGTCGCTCTATAACTATGGTTAAAGTTTTTAACTATGGTAGGGTGACTATGGTCACTTATTAGTTTTATAATTTTCTTTAATCGAAAAGAGGCTCGTAGGATTTTGGGCTCTGTGTTTACGGTTTAGAGAGAGACGAAGGGAGAACAAACAGAAGAAAATAGGGCTGGAGGCTCTTAGGAATTTGGGTTTCATATCTCTGCATTTACGGTTTAGAGAGAGAAGAAGGAAGAACGAAGGGAAGAAAATAGGGCTGGGCTCATAGCCATTAGGGTTTACAGAGAGAGCCAGTAGGGTTTATAGAGTTAATTAGGGTTTATAGAGAAAGCCGGTAGGGTTTATAGAGTGAGAAGAAGGAAGAAGGAAGAGATCATGGGCTTCACAAACCCTAATGGAAGAGGCCCTAACTGATTTTTAGAGAAAGAAAAGGAAGATGGGATGATGATTAGGGATAGTTTGAAGAGGATTGTTTGAGAGAAAGCCCTAATTCTACTGATTTGTGAAGTCGCCCTAACTGATTTTTAGAGAGAGAAAAGGAAGAGGGTTTTTCATTTTCTTGGGGAAACAACAAGCAGAGCTGAAGAAGGTTTGAGCAACTAATCCTATAGGTACAATTGCTTGCTCCTGTAAGTTTACAGTTTACACTATATTGTTTATCTTTGTTATCACGTAATAAAAGACAAAATATTGTTTACATAGTCCTGTAGTCACACTCTCTGTTTCTCATTCATCAGTAAAAGACTATGTTTTGAGTTCTAGTTTGTGCCATAAACAGTATTTTCACAAAAACAATTATCACAAATAATCACAGAAATCTGCATGTATTTGATTTTCTTTGCACAATGATATACTTTACAAAATGATTTGCTATAAACAGTATTTCATTACACAATGATTTTCCATAATAATAACAACTGAAATGTCCATCTATTTGTTTAAGTTTAAAAAAAAAGGGAGAAAAAAAATTCATACCTTCAATCTGCATCTGCGGCTTTGAAGAACACAGTGGGGATAAAACTTTCCATTTTAGGTTTTTTTTTGAAATAATATTTTTTTTTCAAAAGCATGAAAGTAGCAATGGCTGCAATAGAAGAAAAAAAAAAAAATGTTTCAAAAAAAATTATAGGTAAAAAAAGATACGATATTTTGGCCTGATTTAAATCGTATGAAAAAATCGTGTTTTCTTTTTATGAAAACTTTTTTTTATGAAAACTACTGATTTTTGCCGACCTTTTCTGAAAGTCGCCATGTAAAACTGTTTCAATAAAAACGTCGATTTTTTTAAACAATGCCAATTAAAAGGCTATTGGCTAACTATGGTTCTGATAGGGTTTCTGCCCATCAATCCACAAATCTTTATGGCGAAGAAGAGGAAAGAGAGGGGTGGCGATGGAGAAGGTTCCTCCATCTCCAAGAGAAAAGAGCGGATCGGTATAGCAGACAAACCTGAATTCATTTCCAGGAATCGCGCTCGCCTTCCCAAAAAACACCAACAAGATGAAGAAGTAATTTTCTCTCTCTTTCTCTCTCAACGATTTCTACTTTTTCTTTGCTCACCAACTGATTACTGTTTCTTTCAGTATGTGGCTACAAAATTGAGCCAAAAGATTTTGAAAGAGGCACGAAAGCAACAGAAAGAAATAGAGGACGATGAAGAGTCGGAACTTGCAAAAACCCAACTCTCGTTCTCGGATGCAGCTGCTGAAATTCGAAATAATCTATCTGAAAGTGATGATGAGGATTTTGGTGGGTTTTCGGAAACTCAGAGCCGTTATGAAGATTATGAGGTAAAGAAGCCATCTTTATACTTTTTAATGTTCATCTGGTTTTGTTTCTTATTTACTCTTTAGAGGAGGCGCTTTTTTCTTGATTGGGGGTTATATCCTTTTGATTTTCTTTTTGTATTTGGATGGATTTTTTTGTTTTTAATTGTGGAGTGAATATTATAAGTTATCTATTAAATGTTATGTTTATGTTTTTTTTTTTTCACTTTGGTTAGGTGAATGAAAACTTTGTGCTTTATGTTCTGTGTCGCCGCTTTTGTTTCTTCTTCTTCCTTTTTTAAATGCATTTCTTCTACATTGTTGGGGTGCTATTCCCTATGGATTTTTTTCTGTAATTTATTTTAGTTTATTTTTTAGTCAATAGATTGAGGTTCATGACTTGTGGTTTTTTTTTCTTTGCAGGAGATCAATGAGGAGGACGAGAGAGTGTTGGAGGCATTCATGTCAAAAGATGCTCCTCCCTTGAGGACCTTGGCCGATATTATCATTGCAAAGATTAGAGAAAAGGATGCCCAAGTTGCTCAAGGTTGTTTTCTTCCTCTAGAGCTCTCCTCTGATCACTTCCACCTCTGTTATTATTGCTACCACTCTGAGTTCTATATCCTAAGACAGTATTACTACAATATTACATTTGATTAGGCATGAGTTGTATCATTGTGATGATAAGTAGCATAATTCATGCAACTTATAATGTCCTTTCCCTTCTTTATGAGATTTGTATTGTTATATCCATTTTTGCTAGGGGTTCTTCATAATGTGTTAGGTAGTAGGTTGTAAGTGGTATTACCAATCAATATGCTGTTGGGTCTTACCAAATGATGTCCTAGCTGATATTCGGATCCATAATAACAAATGGACTCCATAGACATATTGATTTGCCACTGGATTATCTCCACTTTGTGCGAGCAGTGGTTTTTTATTTCTGCTTACAGAACTGTCATTTGTACATTGTGTTCCTGGTTCATTATCATATGTTGTTGGTAGTTTTCAAGTATTGGTGCATTTTATGAAGCATGGTTTGGATCCCTAGTTGTGATACTGATTAGAACTTTGTGCTATTTATCAAGATAAGCAGTTTCATACATTTTATGGAACATGGTTTAGATCCCTAGCTGTGATACTTATTAGAACTTTGAGCTACTTAAAATGTTTGTTGGGAGTTGTAACTTTTTCTTTTCACTTCAGCTCTTATCTTTTCTATTTTGTTCCCAATTAGAATGATCAATTAAGGTCATTTGAATGATCCAAAGCCTGGTGCTGCATAAGTAATCATTGTGTTGTTGAATGATGCAAACCTGCGTAAGTTTCTGTTTGAATGTTGCGTTTGCACGAGCATGATGGTCTTTAGGTTTATAACTATTTTCATAGATGTTTTGAATAATTGATAATCAACTTGGACTGAAGTTGGTAGTCACATTCAGTGTATGAAAAGTTGGCTGCCTTTGCTGACTAGGCAGCTTTGCAGCCTCTAGATGATTTGGGCGCTACATGCCTGCAAACCAAGCCCCTATCCAATGGTGGAGAAAATTATAGATTCATAATAAATCTTCTAGAATTGCAGGTTTAAGTGTCCACAGTTTGTTGGGCCCAAAGAGAATCTAGGAGAGTTTTGGCATCTGAAACTCATCTATTTGGTTTGCCTTTGATTAAGGCTTGAAGAGGTTGGCATTCTTTGTTATTATTATTTTTTTAAATTTCATCTTCCGGGTTAAATAGACAATCTGATTGGATGGAAACATGCAAAACTACCAACTATACATACTAAATTTCATTATTTTGAAAATTTAAATTCAAAAAGTGAGATTTAGGCAATAAATGCTCTACCCCTCAACATCCTTTCCCTCCTGTTGTTGTCCATAGCTGATGGCGCCCTCATTCATGATGCAGTCGCCTAGGCTCCGCTTACAGCACTGTTCATGGTTTGGTTAGAACCTCTGTGCTCTTTACTAGGCCATATGGTTTTTAGGCTGTAGATTCTACTGGCTTCTATCAAAGTTTCAAAGGGAGAATCCTTATCATTGGGGGCTTTCCTACTCCCTACCTTTGTATATCGCGTGCTACTAAACAAATGTGATCAGTGTCCAGTTTTTGCTACTAAAATATGATACTACTGGCTGTTGGGATTCAATCCTATTACTTTATAGGTCAGCTCAACTTCAATGTTGCAAAAGGTGCCGCCTTTGTAACCCCTTTCTCTTCATCCATCTTTTTTCTATTTAGAGTCATATTTGTACTTGAGGGGTTGTGTTTTACTGTTTTTCTAAACCTCTCAAAGAACTTGATGGCACTATGGTGTTATCAAATGCAATATGTGGACTCAAGTTGCTGGGAGAGTTCGATGTGCTATGCATGTCAGTGCTGCCATGATGCAGGTACATCACTTTTGATGCTGGTAATACATATAAAAACAAAATTAATAAAATTTTAAGAATACAAATGACAACATGAATATATGATTTATGTGTCCGTAGGTATTTTAATTGAGTATTTTTCTCCTAAGATATAGATTTTATGAGTTGCTGATGGAGATTAACATAGACATGTTTTCTCTCTATTCTTTATATGGTTAACTTGTAAAATAAAGTGATCCAATCAATTTATTGCATTCAATAAAACACGAAAGATTATTGTTTGTTCCAACCAAGCGCTTAAAATATTAGCATTTTGCAGCTAAGTACACTGTAGCATACAGCCAAAAGTAATAGTCTAAATTAAAATTGTTTACTTGGTTTCATCTCCTGGGCCCTTGAAACCCTCAATAACTCAATAAATCTTCTCATGGTATCCTTCAAAAGATATCACAAAATCGATATTTTCCTGAAAAAGCCGACAAAGTTTGTTGCAATCCTTCAAATCGAAAAAAAAGTTTTACTTTTCAAATCTTGAGTTTCATCCCTTAGAACCAACAAAGGATTGGTTCTAAGGGGTTATTTGGGGCTTATATACACCTCCCACACCAAAACCCCCCCGGGGGAAAAACAGAAAAAAAATATCTCCCCCCTTTTTACAGCAGGATGTGTGGAGGGAGGGGAGTGTCTTTTTTTACTGGTGATCGTGGGCATTATTTCTTCCCAGGTCATGCATATATGGGTGCATCACATGGTGTGATTCACTGCTTAGGCTTGCGCATCTTGCAAGCCTGCGTCGGAGGCTTGTCGGCACTGCTTTGATGCAGCCACATGGTTTGTTATGCGGCTGTATCTGAGTATCTGATAACCATGGATGGAACTCATAGCTACTAGCAGTTATGGATCAATCAATAACTTGTTGGTCCTTAGATATGCTTGTATTTTTTATATCAAGAATCTTTGAGCAATGGCACGCATGCTAAGAAGGGATCTACTATTTTTAAACTAAAGTCCTTCAAAGTTTGAAGGTCCATGTAATTCCTATAATTTATCTGATGCAACATTTTTTCAGAGTTGAACTTTATTTTGATCCAAATTTGTTTCACATGATATTCAACAGTGTTTATTTATTTATTTTAAATTGACTTAACCTTGTGGACCTTCTTAAATGCTCCTGAATATCTATGTCATTATTTTATCATTACATCTTATGATTCTGGTTGTGACATAACCTTGTAGGAACTTTTAGTTGATTTATCAGGGATGATCATTGTGATTGATCAAGATAAAACATTATTTTGGGCTACTTAGCCCATGTCTCGGATGTTTCAGTAATGACCGTTTCAGAAGGATGTTCGGTGGTGTGAATGGTGGGTTCTTTTTCTTTGGTTTTGGTCACATTTTAGAAAGAATATTAAGTTTTCGGAATTGAGGGATGCGTCTTTTGCTTGTTAACTTAGAAGCTGTGTCTATCTCATTCTCTTGGAGTATACGATGATTTGCCGGTTGGATGCCACTTGATGTTTACTTTGTTTGGTTTTTCGTTGAAGTATTCAGCATTTGTCTGGTCAATGGTCATTTGCTTGGCTTGTTTTGGGATTTCAATACTAATGCTCTTACTATCCAATCATATATGCGAGAATCATATCCTTCTGCATTGTTCATTTGTCAAGATTATGTACTATATAGTGACTTTTTCTTTCTCTTTGGTGTCTTAAGTTGTAACTGCTTCGTAGACAATCTTTCGGGTTGTTGGATTTTTAACCGGTATTTTAAAATGCGGGATGCAGTCCTGATGCGGTTGGGGGGCTAATGCGGCGATGCATCTTGATCCGGTCTAGATGCGGGTGCATCACCCTGATGCGGTTAATAAAGATAATGTATGAAAAAAATATGGAGGTGATTTATGTGATAATAGGTATTTAATTTATTCATTAACTCCAATATTATCAGCTATTTGGAGATTCTGAATCGCTTGTTAGAAGACATTATAAAGTCGAAACTAGAAACTTGGAGTAACTTTATAGAAGACAATAGAAGACATCATATTATCATAATTCAATAACATCCAAGAACCATAATGGCAATTGCAAATTCTGCCCTTGAAACCCTTGATATGTTGGTGAATCTATGTTCAAACTTCTCAAAACAATGCCCAAGCTAATCCCAATTGACAACCCAACCCAACTCAGAGAGCAAATCGACAATTTTTTGCAAAACAAATTCGTCCTAATTTCTTTTTTCTCTTCGTTTGATCCAAAAACAGCCACGGGGTGTAATACTCCAAAACCCTTTCCTTGATGGGGATGGCCAAAATACCCATGCTCTTGGACATTATTTTCACCCACGAGCTATGTTGTGCATATGCGCTATGTGCTATTCGGCGGCATATGCGGGTGCATCCCACCAAATAGCATATGTGCCCCTATGCGATGCTCTTCAGGGAGCATAGCGCAATATGCGGCGATGCTGCTGCAGTTCAGAACAATGTTTTTTAACCGTTTTTTGAAATGTTGTTCATAAGAAATTTTCTACAGCATATAAAATTGAAGAAACAAGTGATCTTTAGGGGAATATATGCACATTTAGATTCTTCTTGATACTGGGTTTGATATTCAAGGATTTCATGCTAGGAGCTCCTTTTGACCAGAACTTTGGATCTGGTTCAGTAGCGTATAAAATTAAATTTTATCCTTTCTGTTTCCTTATTCTTCTTTTGAAATCTGTTTAGTTTTTAGTGACTTAACCTTAGTATTGCTCTTTTTAATTTCATGCCTCTTGTTTGCTTGGGGCTACTTCCCTTTGGTTGCGTTGGAAGATTGACACAATCCCCGTATATAATCGTTATGGTTAGGAGACGAGGGCAGTTACCCAATTGAAGAGTTTAAAGTGAATTAGGGTTTTTGTATGCTGTAGCTTCCATGAGGACAAACTTTGGATGGTTATATGTCTTGTGGATCAAATGCTAGACTTGGCTGATGTCATGCAAGCTGTGTCTTTTGGGTACATGAGCCGTGTCTTTTGGGTGAGTCTACCCTGATGAATCACGATCGTTTTAGTTCACTGCTTTTTAACCTTTTCCACATGGCTCATCCATCTATCATGATAAAGGACTTACTAGATGAATTACATACATATTATTGTACAAGAAATTTATTTTTTGAATGAAGAAGCATTGTTTTGTGGCATTGGCATAATCATCCTCCCTGGTGTTATAAGAAAAATAATTCTCCTCCACATGTTAAATTGTGTATATCACCATTTGTAGTCTATTTTAGTATGGAAGTCCTTCAAATTCCTCTTTGGAGATCTGTTTAATGTTTGATACAGCTGTATGCTACATAGATCATCTTTATTTTACGAGTAAACCTGTGTTCTTTTATGTTGCAGAAGAGCGACCTCTTCCAGCTTTGGACAGCGCTGTTATTGATGTTTATAAAGGGTATTTGGTCTTTGGAAACATAGTTTTTGGTTTTTTTAATTGCAATCATCTTTTATGTGAATATTTATAGATGCCTCGCTTTCCCACATAATGCAGAGTTGGTAAACTGCTGACCAGATTCACAACTGGTAAAATGCCCAAAGCATTTAAGGTCATTCCATCGCTTTCTCTTTGGGAAGATGTGTTATATCTTACTGAACCAGAAAAGTGGTCTCCTAATGGAATGTTTCAAGCAACTAGAATATTTTCGTCGAATTTGCCTCCTAAGAAGGCTCGGAGATTTTATAATCTAGTCTTACTTCCACGAGTGAGGGAAGACATTAAGAAGAACAAAAGATTACATTTTGCTCTCTACCAAGCCTTGAAAAAATCTCTCTATAAGCCATCCGCCTTTTTCATGGGCATTTTGCTACCATTGTGTCAGGTATGTTTTTAGTAAAATGGCATGTATCTGTTGCTCATTGTTTGTTTTTTTTTCTTTTTCCTTTTAAAGTTTTTGATAGATCAACATCAGCATTACTTTCATGGTTTATTTCTCAATGAATATTATGATGACCGAACCATTTGCTTCAGTTTTGTTTGTGATTCTACCTTCATGATATAATCCATGAGGATTTCATACTATGATAAGAAAAAGGCGTCATGTATGAGTTTGTTTAGTGATGACATCCAGATTAAAATGAGGAAGTTTATGTATAATTTATATTTCTTTGGCCTGATGTGCGAGGGGGAGGTTTGGAGCTTGTCCTTCATATGACCATTCTTACATGACTCAATATATAGGTGCATGCATGCATGATTTTCATTTCCTATGGCAGAAAGCTGTTTTGTAAGTCCACACACATTATCTACCATGAGAACTGGTCTTTAGTATGTAGTTCTTGTTAAAGAGGTTGTTTATTGAGATTTTACTTGCATTTATTTCATTCTCTTCTATCTACTTGTATCGTTTTGATTGTGATGCATATAGTGAAATGTATTAATCTCTCACTCTTAAAGTTACGAAATTCACTTTTCTACTCAAACGGGACATTTGTTTTTCGTTAATTAGAAGACTTGGTGAGATGTATGTACGATGGAGCGCTAACTAGTGTACCAACAACTAATGGAGAGAGTTCTATGCAAGAGCTCGATGGGGTAGAAGAGTCCAGACCCCTCACTGATACAGAAGCTAACCTTAAAACACAATACAAGCTGGACTACTTTTCTACCCTTAAGAAAGAAGAACTCTTCTGGTACCAGAGATCTAGAGTCAAGTGGCTTAAAACAGGGGACCAAAACACAACTTTCTTTCATCGAATAGCAAATTGCGAAGAAGAGACAATACGATTTCCACCATAAAAAATGGACAATCATTTTCTTACTCTACCCGATGAAATAGAATCTGCCATCCTTGTTTACTTGAACTCCCTGTACACTAGCCCTTTGGACCTCAGGCCTAGAATGACTACCTTGGACTTTTTAACTCTTCTTGCTAAGTGGTCACAGTGGTTGGAATGACCTTTCTCTCAAGAGGAATCGTTTGTGCTATTGACCAACTTGCCAAAGACAGCTCCAGGGCTGGGCGGCTTCCCAGTCACCCCCTTCAAATCCTTCCAGGGTGTCTTTTTACCTGATATCAGTAGCTTCTTCGAAGAATTCTACCATAGGGGGATCCTCAAGAAAGCGATAAACGCTACCTTTATTGCTCTTGTTCCCAAAATTGAAGGGGCTGAGGAGCTTAAGGACTTTCGCCCCATTAGCTTGCTCAATTCTTCATACAAAATTCTGGTGAAGGCTTTAGCCTCCAGACTAAAGCTCATCCTCCCTCTGATCATCTCAATCTGCCTTCATCCAAGATAGGTAGATTTTGGATGGGGCGATGATTGTGCATGAGTGTCTCCACTCAAGGCACTTATCCAAGAAGCCGGGTTTAATTTTCAAAATCGACTAGGAAAAGGCTTATTACCACGTCGATTGGTCCTCTAGTGGACGAAACGATGGCTAGGATGGGCTTTGGTAACCGGTGGAGAATATGGATGCAAGGCTGTATCACCAACTCCCATTTCTCTATTCTCATAAATGGGAGGCCGAAAGGTTTCTTCCCAACCTCGAGGGGCCTTTGCCAAGGGGACCCTTTGTCCCCTTTTCTCTTCGTTATAGTCGCAGAGGTCTTCAGTAGGTCCATTTCCCGCCTTTATCAGGAAGGCCTTCTTTCAGCCTTCCAATGTAGCACACAAGGCCCCTTGGTGTCTCATCTGCAAGATGCAGAGGATACACGAGTCTTCCTTGACGCGTCCCCACAGGAGATCGACAACCCGAGGCTGTTTCTCATTTGTTTTGAGACTGCCACGGGATTTAAAGTTAATATGGATAAATCAAAGATGATGGCGGTGGGCCTCACGAGTCAAGAAATCAGAGCCCTTATTCCTTCTTGTGACTGCAAAGTAGAGGACCTCCCCACCACCTAGTTGGGCATACCTTTGGGCTTGGGGAAGCCCAAAAAAAGACGATGGGCTCAAATTATTGACAGAGTGGATAGGCGCTTGGCCAGCTAGAAAGGGAGGTTTCTTTCCCTGGCAGGCCGATCCATGCTGGTCAAAGCCACTCTGGCCAATGCCCCTATCTACTTAATGTCCATTTTCCACATGCCAGCCTCGGTAGCTAACAAGCTGGACCAGCTCATGAGAAACTTCCTTTGGTCTGGCCAAGGGGAAAAAACCAGACACCACCTAATCTCGTGGGACACAGTCCGACTACCCAAATCCCATGGAGGGCTCGGAATCAGGAATCTTAGAAAACAAAACCTGGCTCTACTAGGGAAATGGTGGTGGATATTGGCTACTCAACCAAATTCCCTCTGGACAGGTCATTCGCAACAAATACAGGATCCCTGCTCATAAGTGGGTGCTTGACAGGACCTCCTGCAGTAGGGCCTCAGGTGCTTGGAAGTCCTTTGCATCCTCTCTTGCTCTTTTCAACCAATCCATTCGCTTCGACCCCAAAGAAGGTTCTAGAGTGCGCTTTTGGTCCGACCTTTGGATTGGACATGCCCCTCTTTGGGATCTTTTCCCCTCTCTCTTTCACCTCTCCGTCAACAAAGAATCAACCATCGCTGAAGAGATGGTCCTATTAGGTGGCAGAAGGTCTTGGAATCCCTCTTTCAGAAGGAACTTAACCGAGGAAGAGACTACACTCGTCATCTCGATGTCCGCAGCCTTACACCCCATCTTCTTATCTCCCTCAGGGACTGACTCATTGGTATTGATTCTCTCTCCCTCATGTACCTTCTCAGTAGTCTCTTTCTACAACAAACTTATTCAACCCCCTACTTACCCTTGGAACCCCTCTTCCGTCCAATCCAAAGTCTGGTCAACCATAGCTCCTCCAAAAGTCCAAACCTTCAATTGGATAGTTTGCTGCCAACAGGCTCTCACAGTCGACCGTTGTCAAAGAAGAGGACTTTCGCTTCCAAACAGATGTAGTTTGTGCCTGCACTAGGAAGGGACTAACCCTCACCTTTTCTTACATTGCAGCCTGGCTTTTGAACTCTGGAGCTGTACTCTTCAGCTGTTTAAAATTCAATGGGTTCTCCAACCCTCAGTCAAGGCTCTCATTTCCTCCTACCCCGGCTACCATTGGCCTAAGGCCGACAGAACTTTGTGGAAGTTAGCAATCGTTGCAACCATTTGAGTTATTTGGATAGAGAGGAATGAGAGTTTCCAACGCCACAAAAGAGAAGTTCCAGTGCTTTTCCAGAAGGTTACGTCCTTAGTAACTTTTTGGGCCTCAACTCACAAGGATTTTATATGGATCCCTTCTAACACCTTTCTTAGTAAGTGGGAGAATATTTTGAACCTCCAACCTCACAAGAAACAAAGGCCTCACAACTAGTTGGCCCCTCAAGTCAACGCCATCAAACTCAACTTTGATGGTTGTTCACTGGGAAACCTGGGCCATCAGGGGCAAGAGGGGTATTTCGGGATCACAACAGCAATATTCTCCTCACCTACTCGGAAAATGTGGGACATTGAGATTCCCAGTTTGCTGAAGCGATGACTCTCCTGCTGCGTCTCAAAAGATTCAACCCCTCTTGGGGCCAACACTTGGTAGTGGAAGGAGATGCCCGAAACGTCATCTCTTGGGCAGCTGGCACCTCCCCTTCTTCTTGGTACCCCACCACGATTTTTGATGAAATTAGTCATATATGCAGGGATATGAACGTCTTATGGAGGCATACTTGGCGGACGTCAAATGAGCTCGTTGATCTTCTTGCTAAAGACGGAGCACGGGCAAGTGTGGAAGACTTTGACGGTCCATCTCCTTTTTTGCTCTGGACCATAGAGGCTTCCTTGGACTATAGCTACCTTTGCTTTTTTATTGTACTCGGGCGTCTCTTATAAGCCCCTTTTTTTGCTACACTCTAATTTTTGTAATCTGGCAGGACAGGGTCGATTTTTTGTATAGGGTCTCCAGACCTATGTTTTTGACTAAGGTACTCGCCTCGTGGGTCCTCGAGGTCATCTCTTCCCCCTTTCACTGGTACTCTCTCTTACAGCAATACAAAGTTAACATTATCAATAAAAAAAAACACTAGCAGAGAGAGGAGTAAGTTCTTAGTGACAATAAGTCTGCATCAAGGGTCAGTGTGAGCCTATACCTCTTTGTCTTAGTTATGGACGACTTAACTAGGCACCTGCAAGATGAGGTATTGTGGTGCATGTTATTCGCAAATGACATAGCTTTGATCGATGAGACTCGAAACGGCGTCAACACAAAGTTAAAACTTTGGAGGGATGCTGTAGAATCTAAAGGTTTTAAATGAGCCGGACTAAGGCAAAGTATATGGAATGCAAGTTTACTAATAATAGGAGTAGAGACGAGGAAGTAGTTACGATTGATGGACAAAAAATATCAAAAAGACTGTATTTTCAATGTCTCGGGTTGATAATCCAGGAAAATGGAGAGATTGAGGAAGATGTTGCATACAACATTTGTGCTAGGTGGGCGAAGTGGAGATATGCAACCAATATTTTATGTGATCCCCGCATACCAATGAAGCTGAAGGGCAAGTTCTATAAGATAGATGTGAGACCAACTTTGCTCTATGGGGCGAAATGTTGGGCGGTCAATATATGTGTAAAATAAGTGTAGCGGGGATGATGATGTTTAGATGGATGAGTGGCAAATCAAGAAGGGATAGAAAATGAAATGAATCTATTCCTAAAAATTTAGGTGTGGCACCAATAGGCGATAAGATGAGATAGACTTAGGTGGGCTGTCTATGTGTGGTGCAGACCCAGTACAACACCTGTTAGGAAGTGCGAGTTAGTTCAAGTGGAAGGTTCAAAAAGAGCAAGGGGTAGGCTCAAAAGGACATGGTTGGAAGTAGTGAGAAAAGATATGTGGACTTATGGCTTCATTGAAGGTATGACTCTTAATAGAACAGAATGAAGGACCAGGATTTGTTGTAGCCGACTCCAAATTAATTGGGAAAAGACTATGATAATGAATTAGAAGTCTTATAGTCGCCGTAACTTTTGTGATGTTTACATCATGGAGAATGAACATTAGATAAAATCAAATTCACAGGGTGAAATGGAAAAACTATACAAAGTCGGTCACTATTTTGATGGGATTGAGGCTGTTTAATTTCTTGAGCTTCTAAAAGGAACATTGGCAAAGTTCTTAAAAGACTTGAAGGATCCCTTTGATTCAAACAATGTTTTGTAATATATCACTTTTCCTATGTTCCTTTTGGATTCATTTAGAAAGTTCTGCTGTGGTTACTATTGAATGCTTCTTGGAGTTTTCTGGGGATATTCATATATCCTCTTGTTGTGCTTCTCAAGCATTGATGATCCATGTAGAGAATCAAGTTAGTTCCACTATTTCTGGTAGTTTCTGTAGGGGAATCCAATATTAATGAATCGATCTTAAAATCCAATTAATGAAGAGCAAGCCTCGAGATTGTTTTGTGACTATCATCTAGTGTAATCCTGGTTTATTTAGATCGGCTCATTTGTTTTGCAGTCAGGGACTTGCAGTCTCAGAGAAGCTGTTGTTATTGGAAGTATTATTCAAAAAGTCTCTATTCCTCCACTTCATTCTAGGTAAATCTGCTTAATTGTAGATGTTGCTTTTGGTAACATGTTATGCTTTACATAAAGTAGTTATGCTTTCTCGGTTTCTACTCCATTTCTTATAGCATTCTTTGAATTCTGCAATGCAGTGTTGCATTAATGAAGATTGCGGAAATGGATTATTGTGGCACAAACAGGTATGGCTAGAGTATTATGTGAAAGAATATTTCCTGTAATCTGACAATTGATTGCCAATTTTGATCATGTTTTCCTGGTCAGCCGTATTATAAGATTCACATCCTAATAAAGTTGGATGATCTTTGCCTGTAACTCAACCTCTATTATTTGTCTTTTGAGGCTTGCTGCTTTTGCCCTCTTTAATTCTTCTACATGTGTTTATGGTTATCTTGATTTGTTTTGTGTTATTTACTGAATCTATTATGTAATGGTTGTCATTTGCAAGTTGTTGGGGTGCATTTATGTCTTGATTTGTTTTGTGTTATTTACCGAATCTATTATCTAATGGTTGGCATTTACAAGTTGTTCGGCTGCATTTATGTGTCCATCAGGATGCCACATGCTTAAAATCTTTATGTTAGCCAATAGCATTAACGAGGGTGGTATGCATAAATTTTTGTCACATTCTGATGGACTTAAATGCTCCCGAACAACTTGCAAATGCCAACCATATGCAATTTAATAGAATATATTTCCTCAATTCAGGTAATGGATTATATGGTTAAGGTAATGGATGTGATGAAAGAGATTTTATCTATATCACCCTCATTAATGTTACTTTTAGCATAATAACTAAAAGATCTGATTGGGAGCAGCTGAAGATCATGAATGTTACTACCTAATTGAGAGCACCTTGCAATCATAACAAAGGAGACACTAGTTAGCATCCTTTGTGTTACAGAATTGATGAAACTAAGAGTGTGATAATTAATAAATAAATAAAAGTGAATGATACTTTTATTTAGATGAAGGTTACCTGGATTTAGGATGAAATGTCATTATATTGTGTCAAAATCACTACTATTCAACATTAATTATTTACATTTTGCATTCAAAGTCTAAAAATTTAGGTTAGATCGCCTTGGCTGCCATGGTTCCTGGGCCCCATTAAGGGTGGGTTTTTGTTTTTTCATTTTTGGTTTGCTTTTTTTGTTGGGGGGGAGGGGGGGCTGATTTGGTTGGATATGAGACTCCTTTAATTGAACTTATGTAATAAATAATTAAAATAAACACAGAAGCGAAACCTAATTGAAAACAAACAATTCCAAACTCATTCCTGAAAAATATCATGAAACCCTAAACCCAAAATCTAAACATACTAACCTTTTGGAACTCAATCAAAGTTGGCTCCAAGCAGTGTGCTTTGGTTGCTGAAACACCTCTATTGCCACTGCTTCGAGTCTCACAAACGATTGGCTTTAAATAGTATGATTCCTTCAAACTCGAAATTCCCAAAAAATTCTAATTCTCCAAAATATTATAAAAAATCCTTTTTTTTTAATTTAGTTTTTCTTCCTCAAAGTCTAGCACAAGGGGTTTTGCCGTGTAGAATACCCCCCCAAAACACTTGTTCCCCATTGGAGGGGTAAAAAAAGCACTCCCCTTCATGATAAAGTGTGCCAAGGTGCTAGACGTCGGACTAGGTGGCGCCTAGGCCCAAAAGGCAGACACCTAATGCAAGGACAGCCCCACCTTAGAGGATGCGCCTCAGGCCTTGGCCCAACTCATGGAGCTGCCAAGGCGCCATGCCATTGCAAATTTTAGAACATGGTTGCATTAATTATGTCCTGAACTTGTCCATACATACCATTGACATCCATTAATTATTTCATCACCTCCTGATGCTTACGGAAGGACAGTGTTAAAAGCAATGGTTTAAAAAGCGGATTGGTGACCCGAATCGGGCACCTCAAAAACCAATCCGGATCGGCGATCCAAATCGGGAATCGGCTGAATCGATCGGATTAAAGCTTCAAAAAAATCCGAAAAAATTATTAAAATTCATTATAAATGTTGTTTTTTAAGAATCCAATAAAAAATGAGGGTAATACATTATTAACTTTCATTTTTTTTATCAATTTGTGAATATTGAGATGCTCTTTCCCTGTATAAACTTATTTTAACTATTAAATTTGCATCACATAAAAGAAAAATCATAAAATTATCATGGATAAAATATATAATTATATATGAACTATTATAAAGAGTAGACTAATCAATGAAAGAATGGCCATTAAAATCTCGTTTTGGCGAAAAACCCTAATCCGCTAAAAAAACCCAAACTATTACAGCCTAACTATAATCCAAAATTATTACAACCTCACAAATTATAATATTATATACTGAAATTATAATTATTAGTTTACATTTTATAATTATTTTATTAGACAAATAATAACAAATTAAAAATATTTTATAATATTATCTAATTTAAAATGTATTATTGACAACTGTAAGAAAAATAGTACATTACATGATTTATAATGTAAAAATTCATAAATAAAATAAAAAATTTGGTTATCAATGTAAAAATTAATAAAATGCGTACAAATTTTGGAAATAACACTTCAATTTTTCAAAAATTTATTTTTTTAGGTTTCTATAATAAATTTAGTAAAAGAGATTGTTAGTAGAAAGATGGAGATTTCAAATAGAATAAAATTTTTATTTTTATTTTTTTTATACCTTTCATATTATTTACAAAAATAATTATACCACTATATATATACAACAAAAATTAACTGTTATATAAAAAATTAATTTTTTTATTTTTCATTTTCTTATGCCTTTTATATTATTTACAAAAATATTTATATTTATACCAACCACTATATACACAACAAAAATATTTATATTTATACTAACCACTATATACACAACAAAAATGCAACACATGCCCAAGGGGATTCGACCTTGGGACATCAAGTAAAAAAACAGAAGTCATAACCACCAAG